GGATTCATTCCCTCTCTTCAGTATGGAGATTAAAGGTTTATGCTACCATGCCTAACTAAAGTCTGTTGCTACTTACAATATTTGGAGTTGAAAATAGAAAAATAACTATGTATAAATTAATTAAACTTATTTATTTTTTAAAGAGCACTGGCTGGCCACGAAGTGGTGGTGAACCGCCTTTAATCCCATCACTCTAGGCAAAGGCAGGCGGATGGATCTCTGTGAGTTCGAGGCCAGCCTGGTCTACAGAGTGAGTTCCAGGACAAAGCTACACAGAGAAAGCCTGTTTCAGGGAAAAGGCATTGGTTGGCTGTTTTACAGAGGACCTGGGTTCATTTCCCAGCAGTCTCTAACTCCAGTTCCAAGGAAGCTGGCACCCTCACAAAGACATACTTGCAGGCAGAACATCAATGCACATAAAAATAATAAATCTTTAAAAAAAAGGTGATAGATGGGAAACTAAACGCCTATAAGAACAATATATTGTGCTAAGCCCAGTGAAAGGAATTGGATCTGATACTGTGTGAGAGGGTCTTACTGTGTGTGGTAGGGAGGAGATAAACTTCATTGAAAGTGCAATGTAAAGATGAGCTAACCACTCCTAAAGTTGCCGTCCTTTGAGCCTTTCAGAATCCCAGTCTCCTATCGTTGTTCCTCTAAAGCACTGACCTCTGAGCAGCTCGCAGGTTCCCGGCGTGTAAGCGAGTTGCTTACCGCAGCGCTGGAACCCGGTTCCATTGCTCACTGCGTCCACCCTCTCCTGTGAAGCCATGGAAGGGCCCTAGGAGGGAGAGAAGCAATAACCAGCCCTCCTCGTGTCGCAGTCCCAACCTCTCATCCCCAGCGCCCTGGGCGTCTGAGAAGCGGGTGCCCGAACCCTCGGCTCCGGACAGCGCAGTCACCACAGTCCCCATCGAGATGGTCCCGGGCGGAGCGCTTACCCTAACCGTGACGGCGCCCTCCTCCAAGAGATCCCGGGGGACGCCAGAGTGTTAGTGCTCGCACCAAGCGCATCTGGTTACTATGGTAACTAGCGTATACACCCCACGCACACGCATTAGCGACTCGCCTTTGGCTGCCTCCCGGAAGTGATTGCCTTTGGGTCACGGCGCAGGCGCAGACCACGCGTAGTGCTGCCGGGGAACGCTGAGGCGCGCGTCGCTCTTCTGCCTTCCGGACCGGCCAGTGCGGGCAAGGAAGGCATCATGTCAGACAACGAGGACAAGTGAGCGCGGGCTCGGAGGGGAGGAGGTCGTGGTGCGAGCGGGGCGCTTGGAGCACAGGCTAGCCCAGATATTAGGTCTGTTGGGCGAAGTCTTCTAAACTTCCTACCTCGCGGAGCAACGCGGAGCAGCATGCACAGTTAAGCCCGTGTAGCCCGTGCCCTCCGGGCACCCCCTTTCTGGAAGGGAACGCGGGTAGTGTAGTTCGTTTAGTCGTGGAACTAGGAAGGAGGAAGCAATCCAGAGGATGGCCTGGAAGGCTGGGAGCAGGCGCTGGTTTAGTGTTGCTTGGGGCAGGGTCCCACTCTGAAACCCAAACTGGTCGGGAATTCACTATGTAGCTAATGCTAGCTTTGAATGTGCCACAGACCCAGCTGAATTTTGGACATATATTTTATTTATTTGGAGACTAAATCTCACTGTATACCAGGTGGTTCGAGTTTAGAGATACAGCCCGGTGGTGGTGGCGCACGCCTTTAATCCCAGCACTTGGGAGGCAGAGGCAGGAGGATCTCAGTGAGTTCGAGGCCAGTTTGGTATACAAAGCGAGTTGCAGGACAGCCAGGACTGTTACATAGAGAAACCCTGTCTCTAGGGGATAAAAAGAATTTAGAGGTCGTCTACTTCTGTCTTCCAAATGGTAGGATTAAAGTGTGAACCATTGTGTGTGGCCCCTGGTACCCACACACACACACACACACAAAATCCTACATGTATATGAGAGAAAGAGATGGTATACACATATATCTGGAACACTGCGATTTACAGGTATATGCTACCATGGGCAGCTCCTAGATATATTTTATTTATTTATTTATTTTGAGACAAAGGTTCTGTGCATAGCCCTAGCTGTACTGGAAGTCACTGTGTAGACCAGGTTGTCCTCAAACTCACAGAGATCTGCCTGCCTTTTTCTTATAGCACTGGGATTATGCCTGGCTCCTGATATATTTTTAAAATAGAGCCAAAAGGATTTCCAGATGGGCTGTATGTGTTAGGTCATAAGAGAAGATAAACTGTGGGAGTCCTAAAATAGATATAGTAGCCAAAACTCGGAAGCTGGGTGTGGTGGGCTCACACCTGTAATCCTTGCTTTGGGGAAGCTAAGGCAGGAGGATTGCCATGATCTTGATGTCAGTCTGTGCTACTTATCAAGTTTCAGGGCAGCCTGAGTTACATAGTGTACAGAGTGAGACTCTGTCTCAGAAACAAGCAAAAATACAATGAAAGCAAAGCAAAGATGGGAGTGTTGACCAGGGTGGTGAGTGATTGGGGGAGAGGGGGGGTACCCAGAAAAGGCTGAGGAGGAGTCCCACACCCCAAGTGTGAAGCAGGAGGGAAGAGCCAGGTGTGCTAGCTGTTAGAGGAAGGTGAATGAGAGTGGGAAGGATTAGCAACAAAACGATCATTAGTGAAGTGGTGTACTTTGGAGGCAGAGGCAGGAGGATCTCTGTGAGTTCAGTCTGGTCTACAGAGCGAGTTCCAGGACAGCTAAGACTACACAGAGAAACCCTCTCTCAATCAACATCCCCACCCCCCAAAAAAAGATGATCAGTCTTTTTTTTTTTTTTTTTTTTTTTGGTTTTTCGAGACAGGGTTTCTCTGTGGCTTTGGAGGCTGTCCTGGAACTAGCTCTTGTAGACCAGGCTGGTCTTGAACTCACAGAGATCTGCCTGCCTCTGCCTCCCGAGTGCTGGGACTAAAGGCGTGTGCCACCACTGCCCGGGCGTGGTGGAAGTCTTACTGAGGTGAGATTATGGCCGAGGAAAGAGAAGACTTGCAGACAGTGAGTTTGGGCAGCTCCTTCACAGATTTTGTACCATAGGAGGCTGATGAGATTGATCCACATTTGAAGGTGCTTACTGTACAAGCCTGACAACCCAGGCTTGATCCCTGGAACCCGGAGGTAGAAGGAGAGAATGGGAAAGGTTGTCCCGGTGGTATGTGTGGGCCTTCGTGCAAACACATATCATGCACACATTAACCATAACTAAAAATAATTTAGAAGCCTGGTAACCAGAGACCATGAGAATGACAATGTCACATGGGCCTTATTTTTTTTTTACCCTCCCTCCCCCCATTATAAGGGAACAAACATGGAATTAGGCTGTAGCTGGAGGAAAGAGAATAATGTGGTTTTCTCAGAGGTGGGTGGGGTAATGGTGGTGACGCTTTGCTCCTGGGAATTAATGCCCAGGGATTTCATGCTTGTTGTATATACCTCCGGCCATGAAGTAAATTTTGTTTGTTCTTGTTCTTGAGACAGAATCTCATTATGTAGCCCAGGCTGGGCTTAAATTCCTGAGTCTTCCACTCCCAGTGTCCAAATGCTAGGAGTACAGGAGTGTGCCATCACACTCACAGATTTACGGCTTTCCCCTCATGATAGGGCTAAAACTATGTTGGTGACTGGAGGGGTGGCTTAGTAATTACCAGCACGTGCTGCTTTTCCTGGGAGTGAGAGTTCAGTGCCCATCACCATGTTGAACAGTTCCAGCCACGGGACTTGATGCCTCCTTTCTGGCTTCCATAGGCGTACATTCACACACACAAACATAAATAAACCTTAAAACATAAATCCCCAGACCAGAAAAGTACATGTGCTGACTGAAGTAGTTCACAGAGAGAAACATCGATGACAAGTCCTAGTAAAATTTGGGGGCAGATGGGACAAGATTGAAGGTGTAAAGTGAAGCCAGAGTTTGATTCCCTCATCAAGATTTGCTGGTCCCTCCTACATCACAGCAGAGACCCCAAACTGTGTCCCTGATTCTGGCAGGTGATTCTAACCACCAGTGTCTTCTGGCTTAGTTTCGACGGCGATGACTTTGATGATGTGGAAGAGGACGAAGGACTAGATGACTTGGAAAATGCAGAGGAGGTTAGTAGCCATCCTCAGCTTCCTGCACTGCAACCTGGAAGCTAGACAGTGAGATGGTGATGTTTGCCAAAGGTTTCATCATTCCCTTTCCAGGGATGTGTCTCCTGCAGGTACACTTCGCCTTTGCCTAAGTGTCACCTCAACTAGGTCTTAAGAGTGTTGTGTCTTATTTATTTATTTTTTCTTTTCTTTTCATTTTTTTTTTTTTTTTGTTTTTGTTTTTCGAGACAGGGTTTCCCTGCATAGTTTTGGAGCCTGTCCTAGAACTAGCTCTTGTGTCTTGAACTCACAGAGATCCAACTGCCTCTGGCATCCAAGCACTGGGATTAAAGGTGTGTGCCGCCACCGCCTGGCTTGTTGAGTCTTGTTATGTATGTTTTTTAAGACTTGTTCTGAGTGTATAGCCCAGGAACTCAGTATTTAAACCAGGCTGGCCTCTAGCTTACAGAAATCAGCCTTCCTTTGCTGCCTGAGTGCTGGAATTAAAGGCATGGGTTCTGGTAGAAATAGCTTTGATCTCTTTATTCACTACTCTATCCTAAAAACTTAAAATACCATTGGACAGTTTTTATTTAAAAAAAAATATATATATTTTGTGTGTACCGGGCAGTGGTGGCATACACCTTTAATCCCAGCAGCACTCAGAAGGCAGGGGCAAGCAGATCTCTGTGAGTTCAAGGACAGCTCAGGCTACACAGAGAAACCCTGTCTCAAATAAACAAAGAGAAATTTTGTGCATATGGACATGTGTGTCTGTGTGCTGTGTAGTGCATACGGAGGGGCAGAGGTTGCTGTTAGATGTCAGCCCCTGTCGTTCTCTGAACTTGGGTTCACTGTTTCAGCTAGGCTGTCGGTCAGCAAGCCCCAGAAATCTTTCTGTCGCTACCTCCTAGTTCTGTGGTTATAGGCACACACTGTTATCTACCCAGACTGTAAGGAGACTGAGGACCTAAATTTAGGCCCTTTATTCTTGGTTTCAGAATCCTGTAAACTCTGGGCATAGGCTGTGCACATTCCTGGCAGCAGTTGTTGCTCTGTGCCTGTTTTCTCTAGGTCGTGACCCTACTATCAGAACCCAGGGCCTTATGTGTCCTCAGTCACAGCCTGAACAGATGAGTAATGTGTAGCAGGTCATTGCTCAGTATGGTGTGACTTCCTCTTTACCCTGACTGTTCTAGTCACTCGACCCATTGACTCAGTTTCATTGTGTGAAAGATCTGGTGTTTGTGCTCATCATTTATAGGGCCCGCCTTCATTTGGGCAGGACAGTAGGCTCTAGAATCTTTTTTTTTTTTTTTTAAAGATTTTTATTTATTTATTTATTTTGTATACAACATTCTGTTTCCATGTCTATATGCACACCAGAAGAGGGCACCAGATCTCATAACAGATGGTTGTGAGCCACCATGTGGTTGCTGGGAATTGAACTCAGAACCTCTGGAAGAGCAGTCGGTGATCTTAACCTCTGAGCCATCTCTCCAGCCCCCTAGGCTCTAGAATCTTGACCACAGTCCTCTTTACTGCTAGCTTGGAGACTTTGGTCAGGTTGGCTGGCTTTTGAAGCCCTTGGAATAGGGACCATCATCCCTGCCTCACCAGGTGGTAAGGAATGGGGTACTAGTGAGTCTCTGTATAGTCCTTGGCATCCAGAAATCGTTACTGGTGCTGAGTGTCATTGTCATCATCTTCCTCCCTGACCCAAAACTTGCCCTGAGATTTCCTGTCTTTGTTTTCTTGGTATCCAGGAGGGTCAGGAGAATGTTGAGATTCTACCCTCTGGTGAACGACCACAGGCCAACCAGAAGCGCATCACCACTCCTTACATGACCAAGTATGAGCGAGCCCGTGTACTGGGCACCCGGGCACTCCAGATCGCGTAAGTGTTGCCCCTCTGCTGTCTTCTCCATCAGCTGGGCCACAGTAAGCCCCAGGCTGCTGATCATGCCCTGTCCCTGTGTGTCAGGCATTGTGCTGGGCTTAGGGAGCCAGTAGCGTAATGTAAAAAGTAAGCCATGAAAAGTAACTGAGGAGCCAAATAACCTCACAGGAAAAAAGTGACAATAAGAACCCTAGTCAGGCCTGGTGGCATAGATACTCGGGTCACAGAAACAGGAGGATCATGGTTCAAGGCCTGCCTGGGCCATGGGTTGAGACAGGCCAGGCAGTGGGCCTTTAGTCCCAGCACTTGGGAGGCAGAGGCAGGCGGATCTCTGTGAGTTCGAGACCAGACTGGTCTACAAGAGCTAGTTCCAGGACAGCCTCCAAATCCACAGAGAGGCCCTGTGTGTGTGTGTGGGGGGGTGCTGCAGAGAGCCGGGCAGCGGAGACAGAGTGCTCCCAGTGCTCAGGAGACAGAGGCAGGCAGAGCTCTGTGAGTTTGGGGCCAACAGAGTAAGTTCCAGAACAGGCTCCAAAGCTACAGAGAAACCATTTTGAAAAACAAAAACAAAAAAAGCTGGAGAGAAGTTAAGAGCACATACTGTTGTTGTAGAGGAACCGAGTCATAGCTGCCTATCAATCACTTCAGCTCCAGGAGGGTCTGATACTTCTGGCCTCCATAGGCACTTCCTTTTATGCACATACCCCAGCATATACACACAAATACAAATAATTAAAAAAAAAATAGTAAAAGATGTCAGTAGACCCTACAGGGATAGGTTCATGTTGACATTTGATAAGTCAGTGTGGAGCATTCATAGTGTGTGAAGTGCCCAGACAATCCTCAATCCAAGACAACCCAACTGTCATGTTTCTTTGTGAGGAAGACAGCTCCAGCATAGTCTAGGCTTTAGTGCTCCTTACTCTGCAGGATCCCCTGCCCTCTGGTGGTGCCCTTGCTGCCCATGGTTCACAGACCGCCAGACTGATTTCTGTCTTTGCTTAAGTGCTGAAATGGTTGGATAGCTTCCATTGGGTTCAGTGTGGCCTGCTAGCACCACCTGGTGGATGATGTCGCTCACTACTTGCTAACTGGGTGGTTGACATGCTTGTTGATTGGTGGTAGCTGCAGCACCAGAGTCACTTGAAGCCCACACTTGAACTTTGCGCGTCCATAGGGCACTGATGAAAGATGCCTTTCAGTTACTCCTGTCCCATCTGGAGAGACCAGGCTCAGGCAGGCCAGGACAGCCATGCATGGTCTGTAAGGCCTTATATAAAGATGGATTTCTTTTGTTTTCTTGGTGTTAAGGACTAAATCCAAGGCCTTACATGTTCTACTGCTGGCCATGTTTTGGTACATTTTGTTATTCAGGAAAGACACTTGGTTTCTGCCTTTGGGAAAATTCAGGCTTTTGAGGATAGCAGAGATCAGAATAAATAGTCAGTGTAACTCTCAAACTGGTTGGTCTCCAAAGTCACCCAGCAGGTCTGAAAGTACAGTCTTCAGAACCCTTCATTAGAAATTCTGTCCCAGGGCTGGAGAGATGGCTTTGCAATTAAGAGTTGCTGCTCTTGCAGAGGGCACAGGTTTGATTCCTACCACCCACATGACTAACAACCATCTGTTCCTCCAGTTCCAGGATGCTCAATGTCCTTCAAAGGCAAAACACCCATACACATAAAATAAAGTAATTAAAAACTTTTAAAGAAGCTGGAAGGTGGTGGCACACACCTTTGAGCCCAGCGCTTAGTAGGCAGAGACAGGTGGATCTCTGTGGGTTTGAGAACAGCTTGGTCTACAGAGCCAGTTTCAGGACAGCCAGGGCTGCACAGAGAAACCCTGTCTTAAAAAATAAATAAATAAATAAATAAATAAATAAAATACTCAATCTGTCCTGATGATCTGGAGAAGCCATGGACCCTGGATTTGGCGTACTTCTTAGTAGCCCTGAATTTATTGGTGTAAGCCCATCCAGAGTTATCAGAGTTGTCTTTCTTAGGAGTTGACATCTCCCTGTTTGGTGTTGGTGCCTCTGCTTGGACCAAGCATCGGCTGGGGTCTGGGCACGCACAGTGGCCATGTGTGGTCCTAGGCTACTGGAAGCTCATGGTCTGCTGTGGACAGTAGTCTAGTGGCTTTGATGCCACAGAAGGCATATGTAAAGTAACGAGCACTGAAGACAGTCATTTCCAGAGTGGGGACACTGAGTCTCAGGCTTCTGGAGAGAGGGACTCAGAGGAGAAATGATATGGAATGTGCAAGTGCCTGAGCTTTTTTGCAGTGGCTGTGACAGAGTACTTGAGATGAGGCAGGTTCCTGGCTCAGTACATTTGGATCACAGTTCTGGGGGTGGGAGGGTCCAAGAACTAGGTACCTGCACCTGATGAGGCCTCAAGCTGCAACAATACACAGCAGAGTGCCACATGGTAGGACCAAGCAACCCCACTTGCCTGGACTTCTCGTTCTCTTCTTATAAAGCCACTTGTATCCTCACAGCGGTCCCACCCTCCTCCAGTACTGTAATCATGCTGACTTAAGAACACAGGGGACACTTAAGAACCGTAACACAGTGGAGGAGAAAGGCATAGAAGTTTGTTAAGGGTGCTTGGATGGAGGATGGATGGGGCCAGGCTGGAAGAGTGGTTGGATTTACATTTAAATTCCTTCTGGGGAAGTTGCTGTGAAGGGCTTGTGAGGTCGGACTGGTGTGGTCAGAATGAAGGACCTTTTCTGATTGAGTGTCACACTTAGATGATATCGTGTGTTACATGGGATATGCCATAGCACAGTGGTTAGGAGCAAGGCCTGTGTGTGAGCGGGTCACTTACCTTTCTGTACCTCAGTTTCCTTTCAAAAAAATAGTCAAAGTAGGTCTCCCCTCAAATAAATAGAGAATGTCAAGGTAGATAATCATGAGTGGCATGGAATCTTCTAGTCTTTAGGGTTTTGTTTTGTTTTGTTTTGTTGTTTTGTTTTTGTTTTGTTTTGGTCATCATTTTGCTAGTGAGGCGGGGAATATCTTTTTTTTTTTTTTTTTTTTTCCAGACAGGGTTTCTCTGTGGCTTTGGAGGCTGTCCTGGAACTAGCTCTTATAGACCAGGCTGGCCTTGAACTCACAGAGATCTGCCTGCCTCTGACTCCTGGGAATATCTTCTTTTTTAAATGAGGTTATTGGGATGTGGAGAGAAATCTAGTGACTTGTCCTTGGAGGCACAATTTAAATCCAACCTGCTGGTCTTCTCTGCTTTGTGGCAGCTCCCTGTGCAGTACTATGATCACCACTGCCTGCCTAGGTGACCTTGCTAAATGAGGATCAGGACACTGTAGTCACCTTCTCTGAGCTTTATCTCCTGTGTCTGTCCCTGCAGGATGTGTGCCCCTGTGATGGTGGAGCTGGAGGGGGAGACAGACCCTTTGCTCATTGCCATGAAGGAACTCAAGTAAGTGCCTCAGACAGTGGTCCCTTCCTCCAGAGCCCAGCATGCAGTTCTCAGGCAGTCTGTGTAGGGCAGTTGGTGTTTGATTCTGTTGATCTCTGGCTCATTCATAGTCAGGCCCCGGAAGTGGAAGGAGGGCATTTATGTGACACACATCTCTACCACCTGTCCTCTGCTCAGAGCCAGGGCACCAACCCTCATGTCCTGTGACTTCTCCCCACAATAGGGCCCGGAAGATCCCAATCATCATTCGCCGTTACCTGCCAGATGGAAGCTATGAAGATTGGGGCGTGGATGAGCTCATCATCACTGACTGAGCAGAGCTGCCAATTGTGCCTGGGCAACCCTTCTGTACCCACTTTATACATGTAAATAATAAATGTCACCTTCCCACCCAACTATGCCTGTTCTCTGCAGAGCTGCCACCTGCTGCTTCCTTGTTTCTGTCCTGCTGCAGAGAGTGGGCCCACATTGAGGTGGCCCTGGGACTGTTAGTTCTTTCTGAAGCACCAGGGCCCTTGGCCCCTTGGGCCCCCCCTCTTCCCTCCCTCTATCTCCCCACGCACCAGAGCAAAAGCTGCTGCAGGGGAGACACCTCAGCTGCCTTCTCAGCAGACAGATGAGTCTTTGTGCCCAGGGAGCTTGTTGCCATGGAAACCCCCAATTTCCTTTCCAGTGGGGACTGGCTGCAGGGGCTTCTCCCTTCTCAGGAGTATCACAGAGCAGGTCTCATCAAGCCAGCCATTGTTCCTAGGGACCTGCCTCGAGCTCTTATCAAGGACTCAGATCCCCTTTCAGGAGTGGTGCCCTAGCAGGAAGTATGGGGGTGCAGTGATCCCCCACTGTCCCCAGGCAGAGCCCTGCTGGGCAAGTCAGCAAGTGGAGCAAGGACCAAGCACCTGTCCAGCTGTCGTGGGCCAGTGCCACACAGTGTTCTCCATGGCCTTCTCTCTGGTCTGCCTCACAGACCTGAGATGGAGTTCCTCTCCTGCCTCTCTGTCAATGGACCCTCTTGTGCATCCTGCTTCCTCACCCCAGGAAGAGCCTTTCATATCCTGTGGTAGAGATGTGTGTGGATCAGGAGATGGTGGGGTATACCTATAATCCCAGAACCATGGAGGTGGAGGCAGGAGGCTTGCACAGTGAGTTCAAGGCCAGCCTGGGCTATACAAGACCTTGTCTAAGAATGTTTTTAAAAAAGAAGGCAGCCATGGACACTGGCATACTTAGGAGGAAGACTGGCTTCTGAGTGGCCCAGCCTAACCTCCAGTCCACTTCAACCCTAAGGAGGCATGGCACTCCACATGGGATCGGGCACCCTGGTCAGGGTGGGAAGGATGAGTGGCCACAAGAGTAGGAGGGGTGCTTGCTGCTCTGGATGGGGGTTAATTCTGGGAGTCATAGACTTCGCATCCCTGTCACCCTCCTCCAAGCTTTTGGAATCCTTTAATCAAGCTGGGTGCTGAAATTTCAGCTCTGAAATGCCGCCTTTGTGCTGGCATCCAGGCAGCCACCCCAGAGTGCAGGGTCACTTTCTTGGCCCCATTTCTCTAAATGGGGCCTTTGTTCCCTGCTGGGCCGCTCAGTATCAGATGTGATTAAAGGGAGATGGAGCCTGGGTAGGAGGGGGTGTTAACCCTTAGGGGATAGGGTGTAAGGAGATGGAGAAGAGGGCGCGTCTCCTCTCGTCTCCCCTTTGAATACTGATGCTCTTGGGAAGCCCCTCATTGAGTTGGCTGGGTCTGGGTTTGTCTCCTGCCGATATACCATCACTTGCCAACATTGTAAACTCTTCATTCTCCATAGGTTTAAGGTCATCTGGTCATTTAGAAACACCTGACTCTGGAGCTTCTGTACATCCAAACCTGTTCCAAGGGATGTGTACAGCCCACTAGTGTTGGCTTCCATTTTTGTCTTTCCTATGGCCATTTTCCTGCTGCCTATACCAGTGGTGATTAACATGGTCAATCTCATGAGGTGGCAGCCCCCTCCCCCCCTTGATGGAGCCCCTCCATCTTGCCAGCTCTGGCGACAGTTCCCTCATCAGAGTAGGAGCAGTACTTATACTGGAGTGGACAAATGTCCTGCTCTTCAGTAGAGGGGCAACTGAGCATCAGCATGCAAGGTTTCATGTCTGACAGTGCTGTTATCATAAGATGAAAACCAGGAGGCGGTCTTAAAAGTCAGTACTGCCAAGTCAAAAAATCAAAACAAGCAAACAAAGAACGTTTTTCTATGGTTTCTGGGCTGGTAGGTCTAGGGGCTGGCCCAGATCACTGGCCTTTGGTTTTACCTGGGGAATTGGACTTTCCTCACACCTGCAATGGGTGAAGGACATAGTCCATGTGTGAGGAGGAGAGCTGATGAGGAGGGACACCCAATGGCATATGCAAGCCCTGCCCTTTTCGGCCCAGCCTTTATTAGTGACTTCAGTGAAGGTACTCAAATACGTAGATGCGTAGACCTGGACTTCGCTCAGGGAAAGCTAGGCCCTAAGATTTAATAGAGGTGGAGCAATGGGTCAAATCCAACAGGTAAAGATCTAGTAAAGGCCAACAAAAAAAAAAAAAACAAAACCAGCTGCTCTGTAGTTGGGGTGGTCTGACGATGCATCCGATATTGTTGAAAAGAGCAAGGGTTTCATATACCAAGCTCCAAGGGGACCAGTGGCTTGGCGGAGGTGGCTGAAGAGTGTTTAGATGGAGCAGTTTGGTGGGTGGCCTCTCAAGGACTGATGGAGATGGAGGGGTGATGTGGGGCTTGGAACAAGTGGTTCAGGGCACATGCTGTCATTTGGGCACCAAAATATCAGGCAACATGGGCCACTCCCTTGGAGGCCTAAAGGATGTACAACCCTGGCAAAGCCAGCAACCAAGGACACACTAGGAACTTTGCTACTGTGGTAATATGTGGCCATTGGCACTTCCTGTCAGAGCAACTTGGTAGAGATTTCCCCTGACCTTGGTGATGTGAGCTTGGCAGTGGCCTAGGTCATGACCCCTACTGAGGACAAACTCTTGGGGAGCACAAATGAATGGAGCTTCTTGGCTCAGACACAGGCTGCTGCTGTGATGGCTCAGCTAGATGCTGGCATGGGATCTCTCTCTCTTTCTCTCTCTCTCTCTCTTTCTGTGTGTGTGTGTGTGTGTGTGTGTGACATGTGTTTCTATAAACTGGGGAAGGTGATGGATAGAGAAGCACAGCTACAGAAGGTCCATCCATAGATTCTATGGAACCACCATCCTCACATCCTTAGGGGAGAAAGATCCTAGGAATTGCTCACCTTTGCGCTCTCCTGGTAGCTTCTGGAAAGCCTTTGAAGAAGCACAGTTATGGGGATAAGAGACCAAGAGACAGGCCAGGTCAGGCCACCAAGCAGGTGACCAGAAGTTTTGATTTTATTACTTGGAGTGCTTAATGAAAGTTAATGGGGACTGGGGTAGCTAGAGGAGGGGCAGGAGCATGGCGACTATGGAGATAAATAAGGGGCATCGATGGGTTACATGTGGACTGGGCTGCAGAACAGGAGATGGGGAGACAGCTACGTACTTTATTAAGGTATCGATCGCTGGAGCGAAGGGTACAGGGCAAGGGTGGAATGTACATGGCAGGGATTTAGTGTCCAGCCTGCTGCCAGCAGCCTGGGTGCTGGGCTCTGGGACTAGGGCCTGGGCAGTGCTAACTCTGAGCCTGGGGACTCTGGAGATGAGAGGAAGGCTGGGTGAATTGCCTCTGACCTTTCCTGGAACCCCTGCCTCCTCACTTGGGATGGGGAGGAGCCTGGGGACTGTCCTGAGACAAAGGATGAGGTTATTGACACAGAATTTGATCTGGGGACTTCTGCCAGTTCCTTCCTGCATTCAGGTGAGGAGGGGGCATTGAAAGGATCGGAGCTTCCACTGAGTGTCCTAACCTACTCCCCACAAAGCTGTTCAAAGCTGTCCTCAGTCCCTAGTGACAGGACAGAGCCAACTCCAGGCTTTGAGGCAGGTCCCTGGGCAGCCTAGCTCTTAGGCACTGTGACACAATGGCACACGTGTGTTTGAGCTCCTTACTCTCTAAGGAGGAAACAGGGTGAGACCTCTCACCCTAAGGCTTCCTACCTCCCTGAAGGAGTAAACAGGACTTCTTAGGTGCTAGGATAGAGGGTCGTTTCTAGGAGTGGGTGGCCCCTCACCCTCTGTCTGGGGCAGAGATCAAACTCCTCTGCCAGCTCAGTCAGGGCTAGGTGGACCTCCAGAGCCAGGGTGGATAGAGGTCATCAGGGCAGGAGCTGGCAGAAGCCTCCCTGCTTCTGTCAGCCCCTGTAGCCTCCTCCACTGCCATGCCTGAGGCTGATGGGGAGCAGGGTACACAGGCTGGGGGAAGGGGCCCTGGGGCCAGGTAGGGACTGATGGTGACAGGGCCCCCTCTAAGGTCGAGACAGAGTCGTATATACTGGTTGCTCCCAGTGTGTGGGACTGTGGGACTGGGGCCCGGAGGGGCTGGGGTCAGAGATGGCGGTATAGAGGGGCCGCTGAGAGGGCCCCATGTAGGAAAAGGCTGAGTAGAGGCCAGAGGCCTGGCCTGCATGGCCATAGTAAGGTCCTGAGGGCTGATGGTCAGAATAGTCAAACTGGGGGCGTGAGATGGAGGGAAAGGCAGAGCCGTAGTGGGGCAGACTGAGGGAGGTGTAGGCGATCTGGGAAGTGGATGGCTGGTCAGTGTAGTGTGGGGGTCCCTGGGGGCCTGTGGTCTCTGTCTTCACCTGGGCTTTGGCATCCACACCAGGGGGCGAGACCGTGGGCAGAGCCACACCTGGTGGCTTGGAGATCCAGGCAGAGTGTCCACTGGCCACAGCCAGGGCACTGCCCAGCCCGTAGCCAGCTGCTGAGTAGCTACCCACGTGGCCTGGGTGCCCATTGGGTGGCAGGTATTGGTCCAGCTCAGTCACATCAAAGGTCTCCATGTTGGACATTACCTCGTGGCTGATCTCCCCGATGTCCACGTTGCCGAAGTCAATGTGGGGCTTCCCTCCCTCCCCCAGGGAGCGCCCATCCCTTTTGGGGTCTGCCTTGCCGGACTGCAGCTCTGTCTTTGGGGTGGTTGGAGGGGTGGGAGGGCCATGGCTCTGGCCTGGATAGGAGAGAGGCAGAAGGAGCAAAATGAGAAAGTTAGAGGCAAGTGGACCCTAGAAGGCCTCATGGCCCACCTGTGGGCAGCAGGATGCTGACCTCTGAGACCAGCTTCCCTGATACACTGCCTAATGGCTGACCCTACTGGGCCATGCTGGACCATTGTCCTGGGCCCTGCCTGCTCTTCAGAGCACCCTTGACATCTGTTGGCCACTCTCTGTCCAGCCCCATCTGCCCCATCCACTTTGGAATATTATATCTTACTACCTCCAAACAGCACTGTGTCCTCTTCAATGCAACCTCAAGTCTGGCTACTCCCTGTCCCGCTGGTCCTTGCTCAAGGGGGCACTTAGATTACTGACCCCTTTTTCTTTGCCTGTTAATTTTCCCATCCAAACACCTCAGCAAATGCTCAGGGCACTGCTAAGTGCCAGGCAGTGTGCCAGATGCTAGGGATAAATGGAAATAAAATCAGGCCCTATCTCCAAAAGCTTGCAGCCATGGAGAGATAAGAGCCCAATTCAAGGCTCTACTGCGGTAGGTGCTGTGTGAAGGGACATGCAGAGGACTGAGGAGACTAGAGAAGGAAGCCACCTGCTGTCCCAGGGATTTGGGGGATGTCTCATTAAATGCAACTGAATGTCCCAGAGGTTCTGTTGATGAGATTGCGTGTAAGAAAGGTGACTAGACTGAGCATCCCATTACAGAGACACAAACCCATGGCATTGCATTGCAAGGCCAGCAGCTGCAGGAGCAGATGGTGCATCTGCCAGTGTCAAGTCCTTCTTTAGCCAAGGACTCTGAACTTCAGGAGACCTGAAGGCTTGAATTCTGGCTCTGCCATTCACTGCTTGACCCTGGGAAAATCCCCAACCATCTTTTAAGCAGTTTGCCAGTAAGGTGGAGTCTGGGGAGCCTGGGCACTGTGTCTTGGGGAGCCCTCCCTGATTACAGTCTGGAGTCATATATTTCCTGGACAGACAGAAGCTGCCATCTGAGTCTCAAAGAGGCTTCTACTAGGCTAGTTTTGGCTAGTTTCTCCTATATGTCATTCACTCGATCCCATCCCTACTCCTCCCTCTAGGCTATAGGCAATTGAGTCAGGGAACAAGGGCTTCTCTTGGTGGGCTCCTGGTGTTCTCTCCGAAGCCTGACACAAAGTAGGACTTAGCTTGTCTTCTGATGGCAGAGATTTCTGCTCAATGAGCGCTTTCTACATTGCCACCTTGGCACTGTGCTCATGAGGGACACAAGTGAGGCAGCCATAGGGCCAACCCCAAGTTCTGGAGTCCCACCACCTGCACTCAGACCTCAGCTGTGGAGTGAGCTCCTTTTCCTGTCTCCTCATCTGTAGAACGATGGTGATCTGAGTGTTGGCACCCCACCACACCATTTGGGGCTGCCTGGTTGGTGGAAGGAATCAGTACACACAAGGCAGCCAGCCTGTGCCTGGCACACTGTGTGTGCTCAGTATCAGCTCACATCCTCAATGAGAATTAAATATGAATGGGCCATGTCTGGGCCCTCTGTGGCATGGGCTTGCTCAGCATCACCCTAGGGCAGGAGCTGGAAGAGGATTCCTCTCCATC